TATATTTCATATGAGTTTCTTGTTTATGTGCTGATTAGGAAAAGGTTACTGCAGAACACCGAGGCTTACGTGGTTACACAATTGAGAGAAAAGGTCCAACTGTTTTGGAAAAAGTATATTTTTTTGCAAAGTGAGGATATTCTCGGAAAGTTAAAACTAAGAATGATATCCGTTATTTTTGATTTTGATAATTTAAGAGACGAAAGTGAGGACAACTTTGGAAAATGAGGACATTATTAAAGTGAGGACAAATCTGAAATAATGTTAACTTTTCCCTTTGTGTGTTGACATTTTATGTCAGTGATGTCCTGTATGGAAATCAGATATCTCGTATACATGATGATTAAGAAAAGATAACTAGAAAACCGAGTTCAGAAGTGATTTCTCAAAGGTCATTCCCATAAAGAAAGCAATAAACTTGAACTTTAGAAAGTCAGGACAGTTCAGAAAAAAAGAGGATGTTTAAAAGTGAAACATACATTTTATTTTTTGACTTTTGTGTGAGATATTTTTGTATTGGAGCCTATATTTTATGAGTTTTTTAGGAGAGGACATTTTTGAAATGGGAACATCATAGAAGACATTCTAGACATTTCATGTTCTCTATTTTGTGTGTAAGATATTTTATAACATGAGTCTGCTGAACTTTAGAAAGTTTAGAAAAGTAATTTTAGGCTTTTTTTCGGGTAAAACTTGGTTAAGATTAACGTTACAGATAGCAGATAGTAAATGTATAATGTCAAAGAGGGTCCTCACAAGTGTAGCAGTCAAATGTGTGTGTGTGTGTGTGTGTGTGTGTGTTGGTTCCAGCTGGTCTCTGAACACAGGCTGCTTTGTCCAGATCTGAAGCTGAAGCCAAGACTAACCAGCCATGACACCCACACACCCACAATGACATCATTTATGAGGTCAAGAAATCAGTATGTGGTTTTTGATTGGCTGTTCAGTACGAGGGTGTTGACCTATAGAGACTGAATGAAGTGAGATACATGAGATCATATACAAGATAAGTACAAAATCAGGCTCCACAGTCACACTGTGGATCACTTCAACACACATTGCTGCAGAGTTTTCATTCAAAATGCTGAAAATGTAATTCTATGCAGCTCTTTTTGCATTGAAGCAGCAGAAGAAGAATTAGCAGCCGATACCGGGACACAAAAACAAACAGAAATCATCTGCGTGGCTCGATACTAGGAGACAGAAGTGGGAATATAAGTTTGTTTTTAGTTTGTTTTATGATTTGGAGAAACTGTCCCTTTAAGGAAGTCTTTATATTCAACTGCAATAGCTGAAATGATTTATTCAAACAAATCTTACAAATGAGGTCTCACCACAGCCCACCTGCTCATTTTTTAAGACATCCTGTTCAGAGTTAAGGTGTTAAGAGCTCAGCTCTACAACACTACGCTCTGTACTGACGACGGGAACTCTAGTACAAGTACAACCAACCATCTATATATCCGTCTGTCTGCCCATATGTCACCCGTCTCGTTTAAACTGTTGCTCTTAGTCACTGTCTGAGTGTTTCCTGTCAGCCTCTGGACCTAAAACACCCCATCTTAGGACTGGAGGACCCTGGAGGCTACTATAGAAGTTAGTACTCACTTGCTTTTGCATAGCACCTTTCTAGCTTCCGACCACTCAAAGCGTTCTCTGCTACATGTCAACATTCACCCATTCACACACACACGTTCATGCGCTGAGAGGCGCCTTCAGGACTCTAAACTAATTCAGAGTCTGGCCCACATATGGACCGGAGGAGCTGTGGGATGGAAGCGGAGATTTTCCGATGGGCTCTACCTCCGAGTCACAGTCGCCCAATATGAGAACAATGCTGCTTCTTTATTTAGGTGTCTTCTACAGTTTGGATGATGACTTTAATATTATTTCTTTTGATTTTATCGCCATGTACATAAATTAAACCTCTGTATTTAAACTATCCTCAGCGCCAGGAGCCGTGGCCTGCTGGGCTGGTAGCGACCTGAGGAGCAGCTTGGGGCTTAGTGTCCCGCTGACAGACACTTGGACACGCAGCTGTCTGATGTAACACGGAGAGGAGACTGTTCATTAAGGATTATTAAAAGAATGGAAACGTGCAGGAATTAAACAAAAAGAGCCTGAAAATGTCATTGTCAGGACCTTTTTCCAAGACCTTGTTAATTCAAACTAGAAAGGAAAGTAAGACTTATACAACATTTATATAACACACCAGGGGAACAGACAATTGCTCACATTTTTGAAGATAATTGTCGTCTAAAACATCATTGTATGCTGGGGCATAATTTAATTAAAGATTGATGTAAATTACACTTGCTTGCTACCATGCCAGGCCTTGAGTTTGGAGAACATGTTTTTAGACACAGGAGGAAGAGGAGGAGCTCACGGCGAGGACTTATAGGCGGAGCAAATGCATCTCCTCCATCCTCAGAAGAGCAGGGGAGATGCAAATGAAGGAAAGTGAGAAGCCACATTAGCAGCATGGAAAGAAGAAAACACACGCACAACTTATTTCATCTGAATACATGTAAATAAACTTTAAGTGCTCATTTCTCATGTCTTATCAGGTAGTTCAAATGTCAAGAAAATAACGATTTACACCACACACACAAGCACCCTGGGCAGATGCTATATGTGCAGGCTGATGTGAATGTAGACCAACAGGGAGTTAACCCCCCCCCCCGACCGCTTCAGCTGGGGCCGACTGAGGAGGAGGAGGGAGGAGACGAGTAGGAGACGAGGAGAAGGCGAGGTCTTGTAGGTGAAGCTGAGCCTAAAGTGATGAAGCAGGGTGGGGGAGAACAAAACTCAACAGAACAGGTTTCCCAAAGCTACTCTCCAGACGGCGGCGATGCTAAACATGATATCTTTCAGTCACCACAAAAACTCTAAAGAAAGATAAGTTTAAATCGATTCAACTCGCTTCAGGTCCACTGCGCGCGGGGGGCATTAAATATATCACCCCCCCCCCCCCCGACCAAATTCAATGTGTCTCAATAATCTGAGCTGTAGCTGCGGCTCCAGTTCAATCAGAGCACGTCCTTGTGTGTGTCAGACTGCAGCACTGTTGTTCGTCTTTGTCCGGTACTTAAAAGGTTCTCTCAAAGGAATTTAGAGCATATCAATTGCCTCTAAACGGCTCTCAACATGGCAACGGCTGAGCCAATGATTAGCTCAGAATAGAACTTAGCACCTTTAATCATACGATGCATTAATCTGCTATTCATCACACCACTGTCCCTTTTCCCTGCAATTTTAGCCTCTATATGCTCTTATATAGTTTCTACTTCTTAATGCTTTTCTTACTTCCGTCTTTTTTTTTTTCCTACTATGGCGAAAAGATGACTCGTCCTACTCCGCCTCTGACTTTTGTTTTTATAAAAGACCAAAATCACAAATTTACAATGTGTCCAGCATACGACACCCTCTGCCCTCAGACCCTCCATTCACAAAAGGAAAAACTTCCAGAAAATGGCAGAAACCTCTACAACTTCAACTCTACAATCTACTCTTCTTATTAACATCATCCGAACAAAACTAGAATTACAGCCGGGTGGTCATGTAATGGTTTACATCCATGTCCGTCCAAAATCCTCTTCACTTCATCATTTCATCCCATTAGACATTGGTGTGAATCCTTGATGGCCCAAAACGTGTGACATTTGACAACCAAATTAGATCAGTTCATCCTTGAATCCAGGTGGACGTTTGGAGATTTTCATGAGATCGGACATAAAAGCTGAGTCGACTAAATTGAATGTTGTATTATGATGTGTTTCTACAACTAAGTGCAGAAAACAAACGGACCTGAAAACAGATCTGGTTGAGCGGGTGAGTCACACCCTCTGGCCTGCTGTCCACTGCTTCACTCAGACACCTCTCTCTGCTTCCTGCATGTGTTCATCCACCTCATCACCAAACAACCACAGGGAGCTAATTAACTCCGTGTGAGACTGCTTCTGTGGGTTCCTGTTCTTCTTTTTGTTGTTGTGATTTTTAGAGACGTCAGACGGACCGTTTTTAGTCCACTCCAACACTTTGGTCTCAACAACTGTTAGAGTTGTAAAGTATTGTACGGACATTTCTGTTCCCCACTGCATTGTTACATAGCAGAGGTGGAATCACTGGGAACAAAGAGCACATCGCTAACAGAATATAAAATAGACAATGTTTATGAAATAAAACATTAACCTTTGAAGAAAAGACCATAAGTGCTATTTCACACAGCGATTGCAATAAATTCAAAGACTGTATCTAATGTACAGGCCATCACCTACTAACTAACAGAAATTGGCAGCACTAAATTATTTATTTCCAGCAACACTAAACTTGACTTGATAAAATGTCTTTCTTGGGGGAAAGAAAGAGTCCTTAATGGTACTCAGAGTGGACTGAGCATGTGAGCCCTCATCCAGATCCAGAATAATTTAAGTCAGAAAATAATGAAAACTGGGCTTTCATAATTTCAAATCACATCTTAAAGTGCCTTGTTGTGTTCAGCCAAGAGTACAATACCTAAAGACATTAAGTTTACTGATAAAGCATCGAACCCTCACACTTGAAAAGCTGGAATCGGCCGTAGACTGTAATCTAAGACAGTGACGTCATCGTTGTGACGTCTCTCCTTGGTTTGTGGACTTCAGATTAGAAGCCTTGAGTTTGGCCTTTTGGCCATCTTGGCTTTTTGTAACCAGGAGTGACGTGACAGGGTGGAGCTAAGTAAGACCGAGCGCTGATTGAGACATTTTCAGGCGACAAATGTCACAATTGACTTTCATGAAGTGAAAACACGTACAACTCCCAGAACAGACGACGCCGTGGCAGCCACCTGTCAATCACAGTAAGCCCGCCCTAAAGCATCCCCTGCTTTATGGTCCATTTGACTCTAAATAGGTGTCGCCCCCTAATGGCCATTAGAAAGAATGCAAGTTCAATGCACCTCCACAATTGGTTTTACTTTTCAGACCCAGCGGTTGCCTCCTGGAATCAGCAGACGTCTGGCACATTTCGTACAAAAATGTGATTTTAAAAAAGAACATTCTGCATTCAAATTCAGTATGAATTTCAGGATCAATCACAGTTCTGTGCGCCTATTATTGTTTCGTATGATGCAATGTGCTGTTTATTATTTGGTCTGAAATGTAAATGATAATGTAAAGAGACAGAATGACAGCAGCAGCAGGTGGAGGACAGTGTTGTCCTTACCTGGTAATCGAGGATGCTGAAGCCGAGGCCTTTGTCTCTCTCCTTCTGAAGCTCAAGGATCTGAACATCTGGAGACCAATGAGCCAGCTCCCCTTCATCTTCACCCAGCTCCTCCTCCTCCTCCTCCTCCTCCTCCTGGTTGTGTTGAGCCTCCATCAGCACCTCCTCCACAGGGGATACCTGCTCCTCCTGACACACAACAGTGACAACAGAGTCTTAAAACTAATGTATGAACATACAAAGAACAAGCAAATATACAAAAATCAGTTATCTTAAGACCACATCTGCCAATAGTAATTATTATAGTTATTATTCCATTAGAATACAGACCTGGTCTTCTCACACACACACACACACACACACACACACACACACACACACACACACACAGTATGACAATGAGATGCTATACTAAGTATTAAGTAAAAAACTGAGCAAAACTTTGCATTTTTTGTAAGATTTACAATTAAATTGAACAAAAAAATATGATTGTAATTTCCATAATATATTTTGTGAAACAAAATTGTAAATTAATGTCAAAGAACTATACATTTTCATGAAATTCTGAAGCCATCCTATAAAAGCATTTTTCCATCTCAAATTCAAAATCAAATTCTCAAATGAAATCAAAATAATTTATTTTAATTAGTTATGATGCTATCATGTGCATTATCACTTTCATGAGTTTCAGTGTCTACTTTGCACACGTGTACATGACGTCATGCGTGTTCAGTAAAACGCCGGAGTCAAAGTGAGACAGGTTACCTGTCTAACTACCTGTTGCTGTTCAATGAGGCTCTCTCTCAGGTCCGTCTGTCTGCAGAGCATCGAGGACAGCTTCAGCTCGATCTGAACACAACACCATATACTTTATACTTTATATTACTTACTTACTTTATAGCTTAACAATAGGATCATTAAAGTCTTTCTAAAGCATTAAAAATGTTGTACACATGTAAAGAGCTTTACAACAGTAGAACAAAGTTAACTGCAGTAAATATGAATGTGATTTTACACACAATATTGGATAAATATTCTCATTAAAAAATAATATCGGGTGCGTGTTCCTTGATGTTCTCACCTCCTCCACACTGGGTTGTGGCTGTCTTACTGGTCCTGGACCAGGTCCAGGTCGTAGAACAGGTTCATGTTCAGATTCAGATTGTGGTTCTGGTTCCAGGTCAGAGGTCGGGTGTCGGCAGCAGACCAAAGTAAACGGAGGAGGCACTTCTTTGAGGAACGACACCACTTCTCGACGAGACTTACTGTACAGCTGCACATCATTCACCTACACACACACACACACACACACACACACACACACACACACAGCAAATTACATATAAATTACATATAATGTTAAACAACTAATTTAGAGTTTTCCATTTAGAGTCAAATAGACCATAAAGCAGGGTATGCTTTAGGGCGGGCTTACTGTGATTGACAGGTCATTGCCGCTACCAGAGTCGTATACGGCGTCTCTACGTTACTCCTCCTCATTCCAAATATGGTAATCTCTATTCATTGGTTGCAATAATAACAACATGGCGAGGGCAAAACCGCTGAACTCCAGGCTTCAAAACATCAGTCCACAAACCAATGGGTGACGTCACGATGACTACGTCCACTTCTTACATACGGTCTGGGATTTAGTCCCACAGTGTTTGTCTGTGTGTGAGTGTACTTTTATTTACCTCCAGGAGCTCGTCCTCTGGTCTCAAGACTCCATGTTTGTCCACGGGGCCTCCAGGGACCACAGAGGAGATGTAGTGGTGACCATCGAACGAGTCCAGCTCTACACCAAGACGCACAGTGTGGACAGGCAGCAGCTGTAACCAACGATACAAGACATCAGGAGGAAGAGAGCCGGTTCTAATATTTTACCTCACCCCATTGATATAAAAATGGGCTGAACATTTTTAGAAATACCTTTAAAGAATAAAGTATTGGAATTCAACTGTATCATTAACTGCAGCCTCCAAAACAACCATATATGGTTACATTACATTCTACTGTATGGTAACAACACACACCACAGCTCAGAACACACAGTGTTCACACAGCACTCAAGGTTTCTCACCTTGGAGGATTTTTGCAGCTCTGCATCGTCTTCAATTACAGGATCCAACTTCACCACCTAACACACACACACACACACAGACACACACATATATATATATATTAAATACACACACACACACACACACACACACACACACACACACACACACATATATTAAATACACACACACACACACTCATCCGTGTTTAACATCCAAGATGGACAGTGTCAGTGAAAATGTGTAAAACGGTGTTCTCTCACCAGAACTTGGTACTTTGGTCCCAGCGCCTGCTCCCATTTAGCCCACAGTTCTGCATCTGTAGCTGTAAACACACCCACACACACACACCCACACCCACACCCACACCCACACACACACACACACACACAGAAAACAGCCTGTGTAAGCAGTGGAACAGATGTAAAATTACAAGGCAGCCATTAAAACACAGCAGCTTCCTACAGCTCATTAACTACAACCTCAGGTACTGGAACACAACGTGTACTGAAAGTGCTGCAAATGAACAAGTAGTACTGTAGCACAAGTACAGTTGTGAGAGTGGTTGTGTCGAGTTTCTCACATACATAAGCTATTGTGGAATAGCAGGCAACACAGGACAAAACATGATGAAACAAGTAAAACATGAACCTTGAGTATGTTTGACTTTCGCAATTCAATCCAACAGGTTATTTGGGAAACTAAGCAGAGGCCAACGGGACTACTAGTACTAACAGTCATGCATGCAGTACTGTAACACAGCTGGTAGTACTGCTGCAGCACAATCACCATAGAGGTATTCCTCATGCTCTGCTGCAGTGTAAACATTTCACTTCATCTCTGCTGCAGGCTGACGGTCGCCTCATTGGAATTCACCAGTTAGAAGCAAAAATCTAAATGCCTCAAATGTGAACTGTTAAGTAAGCAACTTCAACTGTATGTATGTGTGTAGGGAGTGGGGGTGGGGGGGGTTAATGCATTTGCGCACACACACACACACACACACACACACACACACACACACACACACAC